GAGATCAGTAAGAATAGTTTTATTTTATTTTTGCGTCATTAAAGAGGCAATTTTGAAGCTAATTCACATTTAATACCTGGCGCAATATGAAAATCAATGATAGATTGTTATACAGTAGACGCCGCTTAATGTGATCACGGTTAATGTTATCAAACGTTTAATGTTATCAAAATCGCTTAGTCCCGTCCGCTTAGATCAAAATACATTGAAAAATCCTCGTTTATTGTAATCAAATGTTCGTTTATTGTTATCAGTTTAGAGGTAAATTTTATTTTCCTGAAATCAATAAAAACAAGAAGGAAAACTTTTTTTTGTGTTTTGTGAAGTGTTTCCTGAAACTTACCAAAAGTGCAAACGGGGCTCGTATATTATCTTTTAAACACGTGTTATTATGAGGGGGGGGGTATTTTGCCATTTTCGGTAAAGCATTGTAAAATTCCGTAGCACTGTGCGATTTCAAATTCCCGGAAATCCTAAATAAAGAGAAAAGAAGACCTGCCACTAACGAGTCAATGTTTGTCACGAGCCCCTTTTTAGAAGAACTAAACAGAGTGACAGATGATATGTCCCAGCCACTATGGGAAGGGGGTAAGGAGTGACCTTCAAAAGAGAACATTGTTTCGGGTATGGCACTTGACCTTGGCAGGTCGCTTAGCCAGTTGCTATTGGTCAAACAATAAAATTGGGGGGGGGGTAGTGAAACTGCCTCATCTAAGTGCTTAAAAGACGCATATAGAAGAAGATCAGCATGCATTTTCACTTTACCATAGTTCATACGGTTTGTAACCTGATTTGTTTTTTATAATGGAAAGGAAACGGAGAGATCTTACTGTGAAAGAAAAGGTTGACATTTTAAATCGTTACGATAAATTGCCAAAAATGAGCCAAAGGAATGCTGCTGTTCAATTGAAAGTTTCGCAGCCGCTTTTGTGCAAAATTTTAAAAAATCGTGAAGATATCGAAAAAAAGTGCACTTTGAACAAAAATCTGAATTGTAAAAGAAATCGAGATGGAAAAGACAAAGAGGTTGAATCTGCATTAAAACTCTGGTTCACAAACGTTCGTGAAAGGGACGCTCGTGTTAATGGTTCAATTTTGCGCCAAAAAGCTGAAGATTTAGCTGCAAAATTGGGTAAAGGAAACTTCGTAGCCACGGAAGGATGGTTCCACCGCTGGAAAAAGAGGCAGAACATACTCTTCCGAAGGACACATGGTGAACAAAAAGATGCCGATAATGTAGCCGCAGATCAGTGTAGAAGAATGGCCTAAACTTATTGCCATATATTCACATGAAGATGTATATAACGCAGATGAAACTGGCCTATATTTTCGTGCGTTGCCTGAACACACCTACATGTTTCAGAAGGAAAGTACGCAAGGGTGTAAAACCTCCAAGGAACGCCTAACTGTGCTATGTTGCGCTAGTATGACCGGCACTAAAGAAAAACTTTTAGTGATTGGAAAAAGTAAGAAGCCCCGCTGTTTCAAAGGTGTGAAAAATCTGCCCGTCGATTATTTTGCCAACAAAACGGCGTGGATGACTACCACCATCTTTAACGAATGACTGTTGAAATGGGACAAGCGACTAAAACGGAACATACTCCTGCTCACAGACAACTGCACTGCGCATGATGTAACTGTTTCATTAAAAAAGATAAATATCGTGTTCTTACCACCAAACACCACTTCTTTCATTCAACCGTGTGACCAGGGAATTATCCGCACCTTGAAGGCATATTACAGAAAGGAAAGACCAAGACGCTGAAGATCTTAATGCGAACGCTCTAGCCAAAAAAACAAATGTTTTGGATGCCATACATTTCTTAACAATGTCATGGAATAATGTCTCGGAAAAAACAATTCGAAATTGTTTTAGTCATGGAAGATTTTGTCAACCAGAGGACAACAATGCTGCTGTAATGAAAGAAATGGAAGACGTTTTCAATCCCCCGCCCGATATGAATGCTGAGGATTTTGAAGCATGGATGGAGATCGACGAGAAGGCTGAGACTTCTACTTCGTTAACTGATGAGGACATTTGCGAAGCTGTATGTGTCAAAGATCCAGCTTCGTCACAAGATTCTGATGCCGATGATGAACCCGAAAGTGCTATCGAGGACAAAATTCCGACGCCTGCTCAGATGAGGGAGGCACTTCAAGTCTTACGGCTAGGTGTGCAAAACAAAGCCGACGCGGAACACTTTCATAAACATTATGATTATGAGCGATTCGTAAATGACTTGCTTCGAAAGAATGCTAAACAATCGACAATTTTCAGTTAATAAATAACCTTTTATATATTTTGTATTGTTTTCTGCAGTTCATCATTAAATATATAAGTATACTAATTCTTTTTCTTTAGTGTACATTAATTTCTATTAAATACTTTAGAAACTCCTAATTTAAAATAATTTTTATTTTAATACGTATGTAAAAAAATAATTTTTTAGCTTAAATTTTTTTGTTTATTGTAATCAATCGGTTATTGTTATCAAATCATGTTCGTCCCGATGTGATCACATTAAGCGGCGTCTACTGTACATTAGTTGATCTGTTATTTAAATTATTTTCTTTTCTGTTAGCTTAAACTGAACTTGATTCAGAAATTTTAAACGACAGTTAGAAAAGTCGTGTGGTAAATTAGCTACTTGAATAAAAAAAAGCGCGAAAGCAATTATACAGTCAGTTCATTCATGTTAATCCGTAATTCAAAAATGCCCTGCTATTTTTGCAAGACGTTAATTTATCCACTTTAGCACAAAAGTAAATAATTCGTGCACTTAACTATACGACACTATGGTTCAATCTGAAAACTGATTCAACACTGTAAAAAATTCCGGTAACTACACTGTTAAGAATTCCGGTAAAAAGTAGTTGCACCCCATGTGCAGCATCTGTAAAATCCATTTTACCGTAAAATTTTATACCGTAATTGTTAAAATAATATTAATTTATTGACAGTAATTTAGTGATTTCACAGTAAATATTACTTTAAAATTTCCGTTTATCTTTTTTTTTCTTGTTTCCTAAAATTTTCCGGTAAAAAGGGATTTTACAGTAAAAAGTAACGACACCCCAGAGGGTCAATGTAATTGTTCTAGAAATTATATAAAAAAATTGTTCCTTCCTGTTCTTTTCATATTTTACTTAAAATTAAAAATAGTTTTCGAACCAAAAATATTTTTTTATTTGAAAATCCGATTGTCAATCACCTTCAAAATTCATACAAAATGTATAATTTCTAAGTTCCAGAATATGTAATGGCTAACAGAAATAAGTATTTTCCTTTCCTTTTTCTGTATCCTGGCAAGTATTTTCCTTTGCTTGCTGACGCAAATAAAGATCGTAAATTTTTTCTTGGTATCTTTTATTTTCTGTTTATGTGTACTGACATTAATGAATAATGTATTTTCATATCGTTATTTGCAGTCACGAGTATCGAATGAATCTAGTATAAAAAGGACCGGAATTCCATTCGCATTCCAATACCAATCTAGAAACAATTCTTCCATCTTTCTCATTTAAAAATCTCTTCAACAAAAATATAAATACTTTCGAAAAGCACCCTATTTCGAAAGGGTACTTTTTTTTCCACGTTTTCTAAGTAGATGAGAGAGCTGGAAATGATCGCACTCTTCACATGTTTTCCTTTCAAGTGCTTATTTTTAATAGAATTTTCCGAAAACTTTCCCCTTTTACAAAAGTCTTCATCCAATAGGAATATGTTGAAGTTCTTGAAATAAGTATCAACAGATGGCGCTCTTGGAGTAGAATTCTCATTTTTACACTACTGAGATTCGAAAGATTTTAATTCCTGAGACGAGACGTAAACAGTAGAAGAAGATGAAAATATTCTTATTTTCTAAACACTCCCTTCCCTATTCCCTCCGGATCCCTGTCAGTTGCAGTCGCTTCTCGTTAAGAACATGATCTCTCTCTCTCTTTCCATTTCTCTTGCGCCATTTGCAGTTGCTGTCGCTGTTGCTACCCCTGCCCCTCTATTTTTCCCTATTCGACTAGGACATAGAAAGCTTTTGGCGTAATTAAAATTCGAATTTCTCCTTTGCTTGTCATGGGCACAGTTGATATCTCCATTGGAACTCATGCATATTCCACTGGAAATGTTTATTTCACTCTGCTTTTCTGCTGGTTTTGACAGGATGCTCGTGTTCCAGCTCTTCTGCTGCCTAAAGAGGGGTTGCTGAATTCTTCTGCACATCGCCAAACTTTTTTCCGCCAAATGTTAACAAAACATTGCAAAATATATGATTGTTGCTTTTTTTTTAAAAATCCAAAACTAAACATTATACTATTTCAATCTTAATATTTACAGAAGAACTTACAAATTAGTGGATGTTCCTTTACCATTTAACGAATCGCTAAAGTTACCATAGTAATGCTCAATCATTCTGAGAAACTCACTTAATTTTTTTAAATCTTTAGCCAAACATTTTATTCGTTCATTCTTATTTACATAATATCTTACAAATTAAAGGATATTCCTTTACAATTTAACGAATAGGTAAATTTATCATAGTAATGCTGAATCAGTCTGAGAAATTCTCTTAATTTTTTAAATCTTTAACCAAACATTTTATCAGTTCATTTTTATTTACAGAATATCTTACAAATTAGTGAATATTGCTTTACCATTTAATGAAATGGTCGATGTTTTCTCTTGATTTGTTGTCTTATATACAGTCAAACCCCGTTAACACGAAATCGTCGGGACCACCGAAATTTTTCGTGTTAACCGAATTTCGTGTTAACCGTTTAGGTAGTGGCGGCATCTAGTCAACAATTATTGAACTACTAAACAATTACTTATATATTACAGTTCTTAAAAGTTACTAATGAAGACATATTGCAAATTTAAGTGAATTTAACATAAAATTAAAAATACTAAAAACAATGAACATTTAAAAATAACTTGAAATTTGGAGAAGAAATAATGAAGTGAATTGAACGCCAAATTACGAATTTATTTATCCGTTACGGAATCAAGGTTGAAAAAAGTCAGTTATTGACTTCTGTTTTAATTTCTTAAGATAACACTTATTAATAAAGTCATTTATATGTTCTAAGTTATCTAATGCATCCATAGCATTTTCTTGTTGCATGAGGAAACGATTAATTACTTTCATTGCACATGTCGCCTCATTTAAAGTAACTGGATTTTCTTGTTCAATATCGGACTCTTCATCAGTTGTATCCATGTCGACATCATCATTTTTCGCCGATAGTTCAGCGATTATGTCTTGATCGGTGGTTATATCCGATGTTAGCAAATCTTCGTCTATAGTGGTGTAGTCTTTGAACAAAGGGGCTGATAGAATCCCGCGTTTTTCCGCTTCTTCGATCAAATTAGTCAACGTTTCTGGTTCTGCTTCACTTATTTCTTGAAGATTCATTTCTTTTCCATCTGTGAACCCACCGCACTTGAAACTGTTTATAATTGTTTCAGAAGAAACATTGTTCCAAGCACATTTTAAGTATCTCATTGCGTCTAATAGATTTACAGAAAATGTAATTTTATTATCAAAGCAATGGATCATCTTGCGTACCATTTCTTTTCTGTATTGCACCTTCAAGCTATGAATGATACCTTGATCGCACGGCTGAAGTTTTGCTGTGGTGTTAGGAGGTAAAAAAACACATTTAATCGCTTTTAGTCCGTGAATATCATTATGAGCACTACAATTGTCAAGCATCAAACAAATATTTCTTTTTTCCCGAAATAGTTTCCTGTCCAAGTCTGTTAACCATTTCTTAAAAAGCATTTTATTCATCCAGGCTTTCTTATTTGAAGCATATACAACGGGTAAAGTTTTTAAGTTCTTAAAACAACGTGGGTTCGCTGATTTACCTACGACAAACAAGGGCAATTTTTCGGTCCCATCCATATTACAAGCGACCAAAACAGTAATTCTCTCTTTAGAGCATTTTCCGCCGGAGCATTTTTCTCCTTTAATGCTCAATGTACGGGAGGGCAATGCTTTGAAAAAGAGTCCCGTTTCATCAGCATTGAAAATGTCACGTGGCGCGTAATTTTTCCTAAGAGCAGGCCACTTTTCAGACAAAAATGATTCCACAGTCTCCTTATCTACAGTTGCTTCTTCGCCACAGATTTTATGACACACAATTCCATGACGCTTTTTGAATCGTGTTAACCAACCGTTTGAAGATGCGAAATTTGTCACGCCGAGAGCATCCGCAAAAACTTTTGCTTTTTCTTGCAATACATGACCCGTTAAAGGCAGATTCTGACTCCTTGCTTCACGCACCCATCGCAAAAGCGCTACTTCGATCTCCTCATTTCCCCCTGTTCTCATTCGCTTTCTAGCTGGCTCAAATTGATTGATAGCATATGCGACTTCAATTTTTTCACGATTTTTTATAATCGTAGATAGCGTGCTGTTGGGAATTCCATATTTCGTCGCGATCTCTGTTTTCTTTAATATTCCATCACAAACTTCATTCAAAATTTTTTGTTTAGTCTCTAAGGACAAGGATTGCTGTTTTCGACTCATTTTTACGAAATTTCAAGGGCAACTGACAGTCGGACTCTACCACGATCATGTGTGCTTATGCACTACTTTCCACCCCCTTCCACGCACGTGCAAAGAACATTCCGAAACAGAATAGCAGCAACCAATCAAAAGAGATAATTATGGAAGGATGGGACCTCGATTCGAGGGTAGGAGTAGAAATTTCAAAACACTAATTCCAAACTCTTGTAAAAGAAGAAATTTTGACTTGGAGTGAAAAAAATTCTTTTCGTCTTAAGCGGTATTTTGCGATTTGGGTTTCGCGTTAAAAGAATTAATTAACACTATTCTTCAGACTCGATCGACGGGACCTAACAATTATTTCGCGTTAAGCGAAATTTCGTGATAAGCGATTTCGCGTTAACGGGGTTTGACTGTATAATGAGATTGTATGGTGCTTACGACTTTTTTTTGTTGAAAATTTTAATTATTTTTTTTACAATTAGAACACAGCGAAAGAATCAATGAGCTTACATTAAAGGACATTAATTTGTTAAAAAATTGGCTTGCGATTTTCATGCCAGTTTCCATACAATGCATTCCTTTGTCTTGGTAATGAGAAGCTTATATAATAAAATCAGTGAAATAAATTCAAAATTATGTAAAGCATTTTATTATTTATGCAGTTTGTTTAAAGAAACTTTTTTATACCATTTTAAACTTCTAATTGTTATTTTCTTACATATAGTTTTTTTAAGAAGAAAAAAGATTTTGTAAGAAGCAATTGGCATATTCTGAATATTTGTTTCAATTTCGGTGTCTTTCTTGTAAGTTTTTACTGGCACCTAATATCAAGCTTTCCGTTGATAATGTAGCAATTTTTATTTTCATTTTTTTCCTGAAAGTTTCAAAACGCTTTGTTCTTTTATCCTTTCATTAGCAACATTGAATTGATAATGCCACCTCTACAATATACAGGAATGATTGCAAACTTGCAACAATTTTAATTTATAACGATCACCATATAATTGAAAAACAAACTTAAAAATCACTGAAATAAAATATTCATTCTTTTTAAATTACTTTAACCTTCGTTTGATTCCATTGATATAGATTCTGATTTTAAAAGACTTTATCATTTTTCTGAGATACCATTGCAACTTCGTCTGAAATTTCCATTTTAAACTTTCTTTTAAATATTTTGTTTGCTTTAAAAAAAATCTTTAAATGTTTTTCCTCTTAGAGAATATTTAGCAAACATGCAAAAAATTAATTTCTAGCAGTGCCTTACAATTTCACATTCATTTCGTAACCACGAACATAAACAAGACATACCTTTAAATAAAAACTTATAATAAAAAACAATTTAACTTATTTACTATTTGAAGCTTTTATCTTATCCGATACTATTTAATCTTAACCGTTTTACAATTATCAGCCTACAATCTGATAATTATAAAATGGTCTATTAGCTATAGAGTATTTTAGATATGTTTATGCTAAAATATTACGCAATGTGGTATCAGTATAGAATTATATAGGAACGCAGCTTTTAGATTAAGCCTTTGGTTAGGAATAATAAACAAATTAAAATACGCAATAACATAATAATAAGGACGATAAATAATTATAACAGGTACTTACCGTTAATTAAAGCATAAAGAAATACCTTTAAACCATTTATTAACTTGATGTTGGTGGCAAAGAATTTGTTTCCTCTTTATCAATTGAGGATTCGATAAAAAAAATTTTTTCATCCAATAAGAATGCACCGTCAACAGTGAGAAATTGCTTAAGAATAGAAATAGCTAAAGTAAGAATAGAAATAGCTTATGTTTTTATGCTTATTCATTGAATTTTGAATTAATATTTTGTTCATGCACGGTCTGGAAAAAATCTCTTTCTTTCGTTGTAGCTAAAATTTTACCTGCGGCATTTTTTTTTCTTATGAAAATTACCTTTGGCCTTTTTTAATAATTGTATTAGTTATAAGATTTTCTTGAAAATAATAATTAAACTTTATAAAGAAAAAGTTGGTTTAAGCATAAATATGCTCTGAGCCTTAATGGCTCAGTGTTTAGGGCAATTAAAATATAGATGTTTGTTGCACTTTTAAAACCAATTTTTAAAACTTTTCAAGGTTTAGGGAAATTGAGTTTTGATACTTACTGTCATTGATAAGATTAAAAATAAGAATATTAATATTTTCGATTAGGACTTGATCAAGAATGAATTTCTTATTATTTGATGTCATTGATAAAATTAAAGAAAAAAAATATTAACAATTTCGACTGAGTCTTGAAAATAAAAAAAGCTACATAACCAATGGAATATTTGATCCTTGCAGCCAATCATTTAAGAAAAAAAAATATTAGGACTTCCGAATAGGTCTTGAAAATAACAATGATGCAATATCAATGGAATTGTAGGCATACTTGCTGCCAATAATAAAACTCAAGGGAAAACGACGTGAAGCCTTTGAAGGAGGAAGTGAAAATTAAAGTGGCTATATTGTCAAATAAAGGCTTGAGAGCCGCGATGGCTCGGGAGATAGAGAGTTCGCCTTCCAATGTGGTGAACCGGGGTTCGATCTCGGCTATGGCTGGTCGATACGAATTCCGCATCCGGCTTGCACCGACTAAAGTGCTGACGTGAAATATCCTCAGTGGTAGACGGATCCTGGGTTAGAGTCCCCCTTGCCATCAGGATAACCATGGGAGGTTCTCGTGGTCTTCCTCTCCATGTAACGCAAATGCGGGTTAGTTCCATCAAAAAGTCCACTAAAGCAAAATTCACCCAATACTTGCTCTTGTGGATTGGGTTCAAAATTATAAGGCTACGGAATTGAACATTAGTAGTCGTAAACCCAAAAATTGGGTCGGCTGTTCAACGACGGTTACAAAATAGAATAAAATAAACACTTGAACAGACGTCAATAGAATTAAAAGAATCAAGTATTTAAAATCAAGATAAGGTTTTATTTATGGTGAAAAAAGTTATTTCTTTTCTAAAAAATTTTTTGGAGGAATGTCTAAAAAGGGAGCGTGGCGACAAACAAATGTGTTAAGTTTTGTTAAATTTGTGTATTTTATAAATTTTGCCCTAATTTTCTTATCACACTCAAATGATTTTAAATTAATTTTGATTTCTCTTAGAATAGTAAATGATGTTGAGGAAGGATAAAAATATAAATTAAATCGTAAACTGTTCCAAATCCGATTGTCTCCAATAAAAGTAATAATTCGATTCATCTTAGAGAGACATTGGCGATATTCTTCAAATTTTCGTCATCATTTTGAGATGCAGTGGCCATAAATTTACCTCTCTTGACAGGTCATGTTTGGAACACTTTTCGAACAACTGTCAAACAACCGGATATTCCCGGAAAACGTTTAATCAGTGCTGAAACTTACTCTAACGAATTTCCAAGGACCTCGAGTAGTGGCCTGAATTGGTGAGATAACTGGAGGGTTAATAACATTCCGTTTTAGCACCCAGAAATTTGTTGGAAGGGGGCGGATTTTAATCGCTGTATCAGGTGTTGGAAAGTGACGGATGACTGAGCGATTGGTCGTTTCGGTTCGGCGATTTCGCGACTTATCCGGTTTTAATTCGCAGCGGTCAAAGGATGAGTTATTACACCTGACGTGGTCAGTGTGGTGGTGTGAGGGTATGGGGAAGTTTTGCTTTGAAGTTCGAAATGTGTAAGGAAAAGTGTAAAGGATATTATATAACAAAATTAAAGTTTTTTTTTTAAATTTAAGTACTTTCATTTATACTTTCATAACTTATTTCTAACATGCAGAACTGACTTATCGAATAAAATTAGTTGGAAATAATTCCACACCAAGCAGAAGATTCTAAAATAAATTAAAAATGTGGAATTCGGGAAGTAAAGAACGTTATTAAAAGGATGATGGTGAAAAGAAGCTGTTTCAATTTATTTCACGGGGGACTTTAGTCGTCAACTCTCTATATTAGAAAAAATAGTGCGTGGTGTCCCTCCGCGTGGAAGAAGTTAAACTTCGCAACCTGTGACGTTAATTGTAGAAGAATCAGCAGTCGTAGAAGGATCACTAGTTCTATTCAACGACTCTTTTTATTCTGCTCCGCTCGCTTCCCTGCTCTGTAATCACTGTAATATTGTCCACTTTTCCTCGTGGACCTCTTGAACCAGTGGAAGTGCTTGTGGTTGCCCTGGAAATGTATTTGCATTAATAATGTATGTGAATGCGTCATAATGTAATTTCAGAAGAGAAAACCTAACAATCAATTGATATTCACAAAAGACGTACCTTGACATAGCCTTAAATCCGTCGCATTGTCCGTGGGATTGTTTTCACTCATTTTTTACAATTGTTATCCACTAGATTTGAAAATAAAAAATATTACCCTATTAAATTATATGTGTATCAAAACAAACTAAAAAAATATTTATAGAAAAAACAATACTTTTATGACTTTTATTATTTTTATGCTAGTGAGAACCAAAACAATATGGAAATGAATGAGGGAAAACTGGATCCTACCACGTGATTTCCCGGTCAATAAAAATGTAGCGTTAAACGTTTAACGCAACCCTGTTGGAAGTCGCACAAGAAGTATAACTTCAAAAAATGCAAAATCTCTCTATTTTTTGTCATCATTCTCGCCATTTCTTTCTTTTTTTTTTTGCATTCATTTACTAAACATTTACTAAAGTAGTAAACATTAACTCATTTACTAAAGTAGACTCTTACAGTTTGGGGGAAATGTTTTAGTCCACTGAAACATACAGACCACTGAAACATACAGACTTCTATTCTATTTTCAAACTGTGAATTCAGATCATGGATGTCCCTGGCAAGGGTACGTTGGGTTTAAGCCCCCCTCATTAATTAGAAATCTTTAAAAGTCCCCCTCAATATTTCGGACAAAATAAAGAGAATATTTGTCAATCACCATCGATTTAAATTCAGCAAAGTTAAAAAGAGAATAAGATCAAAATATTTAATGTTTTCGCAAATATTTAATAGAGATAAGAATTTCTTTTTCTGATGTGT